CCTGAGGTGCCCAAAAATCACTAGAAGAGCTGGTCAGGAAATTGAAATCTCAAAATGTAACATTTTTCCCATTCTGAATCAGGAAAAACTATTGACATTTCAAAAAATTTTGTGAATTCACATTTCATTTCAATTACGATTACTGAATTTGTACAAAAAAGGGTTGTTGTTTTTTAATACACATTCCAAAACACAGTTGTTTCCAACCAGAAAAAACTGAAGTTTTTGTGTTGGAAATGTAATTTCCAACCCCTCCCCCCCCACCCATTTTTTTTCCAACCAACCCTTTCCCATGAATAGCTTTGGCTTTGATGAAATAGCTTTTTCCATCAGAAAAATACATTTTGATGAAAAATTCCCAACCAACTCTAATCCCTAGTCACTTGGCTCTGGTCTTTTGCTGTTCCACGGGGCTGCATGTGAAGTTTGAGCTGCACCCTCTGAGTTTTTTCTACATACCTAATCACTGTGGGGTACAGCTCACTCGTGTAGAGGTAGACACAGTTAAAGGAGGCAGCAAGACAGCCTTTTCCAACAACAGCCAGAACGGTGCGCAGGGCCTTCAGATCTTGGGAGAAGCACAAAATGGAGGAGGGTTAAACACGTGGAAAAAGGCTGAAATGCTCAAGAAGGGTCAGGAGTCAATGGGATGTATCCCCAGCCACTGGTGCCGATGGGGCCAGATCCCCAGCTGGTGTAAATCAGCATAGCTGCACTGGAATCAATGGGGCCAGATCCCCAGCTGCTCCATTAAAGCCAAAAGGGGCAAGAAATCAATGCAGCTGGGCTAATTGACACCAGCTGAGGATCTGTGCCTCCGTTTGCCATCTAGAAATAAGAGTGATAGTCCTTTCTGTGTTGTCTCTATTTAGATTGTGAGCTCTTTGGGGCAGGGCCTCTCTCTCCCTTTAGGTCTGTGCAGTGCTCGGCACAATGGGGCCCTGATGTCATCTGGCGTCTGTGCAGCACCTCGCCCAATGATAAAATACTAATAACCATTTACCTAGCTTTGTTTCTGAAACTGGGTCTGTCACCCCACCCAGACTGCGGCTCATCCACTTCGCAACCATCTTGCAACAGGCCAGCCTGGATCAGACTGAATATTTCTCTCAGGTTGCTTCATGGGGAAGTGCCAGGGCAACTGGTGTCGTAAACACGTGTCAGCTGCTTCAATCCCTGGCAGCAGCAGGTGGTTCTGTACCCTGCAGTACCTCAGCCACAGAACACACCTGTGACATATCCGTGGGCTTGAGCCCCATTAGTCCTTATGGATCAGCTCTCCTGGCTCTTCTCTCTCCCCTGCAGCTGACCATGTCAGCCAGGCTTTGGACCTTTGGTAGGACAAAGGCTTGAACACTTCTGGATCGAACCCTGAAAATCCAGGACACCATATAACCACCTTGTGGGACAAAGATGTTGGCTAGGATAGAGAGTCCAGCCAGGATGAGGGTCAAGGTCTGTGTGATCCGGCGCCCGATGAAGCCGATTGTGAGGACTGAGATGAACTTCGCTGCGAAATCGACAGCTCCAAAGACCAGCTGGATCAAGAAGATATTGACACCGAAATTCTGCAGGTCCATGGCCAACCCATAATAGGCAAAGCTGGTGGAGAACCTGGGATGAAGCAGACAGGTATTGATGCATAGAGAGTCCTTATCATTGAGTTTATTTGTTACAAGCATGTTCCCTTTCAGCAATAGGCCCTGCAAATGTGTTTAGTGGTTGGAGTCAGGACCCCTGGGTTCTCTTCACTGCTTTGGGTGGCAGTGTAGTCTAGTGGGTAGACTGCACTGTGTTCTGTTCATAGCTGTGGGAGGGGATTAGGGTCTAGTGAGTTAGACTGGGGAGCAGCTGAGAGCCAGGACTCCTGGGTTCTATTTCCAGCTTTGGAAGAAGAGTGGGGCCTAGTGGTTAGAGAAAGAGGGGACTTTGCTCTGTTGTTAACTCTCAGAGGAATGGGGGCCAATAGCTGGAACAGGACACACTAGGCACCAAGGATTCCTGGGTTCTTTCCCCAGCTCTGCAAATGGAATGTGTCCTAGGACTAGGAATAGGTGACTATAGGAGCCAGGACTCCTGAGTCCTATTCCTGCTTCTGGGTAGAATCACCTCCTGGTGGTTTTCTCTACATCCTGTCTCTCAGGTGGGATTTACCGAAGTCTAGCTACAACATACTGAATTGTGATCTAGTGGGATATTCAATCAAGGTGAAATTGACTGTCACTGACATGCCATGGGATGAAGTGGAGCGTCAGTGCGGCTTAGTAGAGGTGAGCAAAATTTTTCATCTAAAACATTTAACACAATGCAGACTCAACAACATCAAAATGTTTAGGGAATTCATATCCCTTTTGCTGAATTGTTTCAGATTTTAAAAAGCCCCACAAAACAAAAAACAAAACAAAATCTAAATGTTTTCAGTTTTGGTTCAAAATGAATCTTTGTCTCAAACATGCCTTTAATTTTATTTTAAAAAAATCTTTAAATATTTAAAATCAAAACAAAATGCTTCACTTGATTTTTTCCAACTTTTTTATTAGTCAAAAATTAAGAAAAAAATGGTTCTGTTTAACGCAAAATGATTTTTTTTTTTTACTGATTTTTTTCAAATTGCCTGCAGGTCAAAAAATCCATAATTTGCCCTGTTCCTCAGCAAATTGTCGTGCCTGGTTTACTTGCTGCCGGTCTACTTATCATAATCTCAGCTTCCTCTTTCTGTGAACACAAGAGCCGACTAACCATACAAAGCAGAGGCAGAAGGAGATCCGGCGTACGACAGGGGTCCGCACCAGGTCGAAGAAGGTATGGCTGCTCTTTGCAGAGGCTGTTTCTTTCTGCATGTTGGATCTCAAGACCTGGGGAGAGAAGAGAATTCTGGGTAACAGCATGGGGCCTCCATGGTGGGAAAGGCCTGAAACAGAGCTGGGGAATAGGAGGGAATGAGATTCGGATCATCCAGTGCTGCCAAAATTCTTGTCTCAGAGCAGGCCTCAGTGCAGACAAAATAAAGTATATATCTAGGAAGGGAGGGAAGGATGGATAGATAGAAGGGTGTGCATGGGGATGGATGGATAGTTGAATAGACAGAAATGTTTATATGGAGATGGATGGATAGAGGTGTGTGTGGGGTGGTGTGGGGGGGGATGAAAGATAGATGGAGATTAATAGAGATATTATGTGTATGAGTATATGTTTATAAAAGATGGATACATAGATGGCTGGACAGGTAGTTATGTATGTACAACTATAGGTAGAGAGATTGATAGAAGATACCTTGTAGGTATGGGAATCCCATTGTACGAGAAAGAAGTCAGACCATGGTGAGAATACCATTGTTCAGGGAACACTAAAGCCAGTTGCGCCACTGATGTACATGTGCAGAGTCCCCATGACATGAGTGCAACCACACTGATTTATATCTGCTTGTCTCGCATGCCTATATCGGCCGCTGGAGTTGGTGGGTGCTCTCAGCCTCTCTGAGATCCAGTCTTACCTCTATGTTGAGTCTGTCTCCTTCTTCCTTCTTCCGGTTTATCCTGGCTACTCTCTGGAGCTGCTTCACTGCCTCGTCGGGTCTGCCGGCTATTACCAGCCAGCGGGCGGACTCAGCGAACCACCTGGGAAGCAGAAGATATGAAAACACACCTGCACAGAACACGCCCATTGCACTTGTTGAACTGCGATCAGCCCCACTGGAGCACGGTGCTGTTCTTCTACACTAGGGGCAGTGCCCAAAGCCAGTGCAGGGCACAAGCAGTGACAGAGGCAGCAGGGAGCATGTTGTGGAATAGCCTCCGTGGAACTGAGGCTATTCCTCAGTTCCACGGAGGAACGTTCTGTCATCTCCATGGCAGATGACAGAACAAGGAGCAATGGTCTCAAGTTGCAGTGGGGGAG